TTACTTTGTTACTGCATGTTGGGCATGAAGAGAACCTCTTGACAGTTATTTCTTAAATGGGAGGAACAAGTGAACATTGTTTGCTGCTTCTACACTTCCCATGATTCTCTTTTAGTGTTCTTCTAAGGTATTTGGATAAATCACTTTAGATTGAAGATTTTCTTTTGGTTTCCATTGGAGCTAATTTCTTTGCATTTATTTACTTTGCCTGCTGAAGACACAGTAGTTTAACTTTTAAGCAACTTTTAAGCTCTTATCATTCATCCAAACAGAGAAGTTACTGAAATATATTTGTTGTTCCAAAACATATGATTAATTTTGATACTGTAATTTTTAACTTAACATAGATGGGTGTTGGATCTATATTTTTCTTAATTTTGAAGATAATAGTTTTATTATGTAGCTTGAGTTGGAATTTGTTTCTTCTCTGGCTGGAATTTCTCTCCTTCCTACTACCCCTTGAAAATGCCAGGAGAGATTTAATCTGAAGTTTTTGAAGCACTTTACAAACATCAGTGATTTAATGTTTAAAACACTGATATAGTTATTTACAATGGAGTTTTTACTAAAAGATGCCTGACATCAGTTCGAAACTTGAGTTCAAACTTTAAGTGTGCACCGAAGCCTTGTTTCTGTTCAGTCTGATTTTATGTCAAATATGTGCAGAGCTTTGCAGTGTATGTATTTTTTTTTTAACAGGAGAAAACAGCTTGTGTTCAAAAGTGCACTGTGACTTCCTCGTCAGACTACACTAGGTCAAGTTCAAGTTGTACCTGTCAAATTTAGCCTTTAGAGGTGGCCACACTGACTGCCATAGGGCTAAAAATCTCACTGCAAACATTTTGCACTGCTCTACTGGTGACTGGTGACATAATTAAGATTTACTTATGTCTACTAGAATGTAGTTATGCTGAGGATTGGGAAATTAGAAACAAACTTAGCCGAGGCATTAAATTTATAGAGGTGCTTAAAAGACCATATTGCTAGCAGGATTTATAAAAGCCATGAAGCTGTATATAGTGTCAGCTTACTATCAGGAACAGACTGATGTGCTACCTTAAACCCTACTCCTTAACCTATGTAGCTACGTTCTTTGTGGAGGTGCGTAGCAGTCACTGATGTCCTACCCATCCTTATTTTCTCTCGCACTAACATTCAAAGTCCCTGTTTCCTCTTTCCTCAGGGGGAACAAACTTGAGTGTCTATAATTTGGTTCAAGGAATTTTGTTGCCAGCCTTAGTAGAATTATAATATTAATTAAAAACAGCACACAGAATGCTGAAGATGGTATTTTGCCTTGTGAAAATTGGAGCTTCTTATGAAGAAATGTGGGAATGAAAAGATCCTAACAGGATAAACTTTAGCTGTGTAGGCCTTCATAGTGAATCAAATATCCAACACGGTATGCATACCATTTTTGTGTCGCTCATCTGAACTTCATGGAAATATTAGCAAACAGCGTCAAGCAGGAGGATATGTCAATTTAATGGAAGCAGTGGATAATAGTAACATCTTTAAGTAAACCTGGTTTTGCACTTCCTTTCAGAAATAACACAATCTTTATGTGTGTGTCCGGTCTTTCAGAATTAAAACTTTAAAGTCTTAATCTTCTACTGACAAAAAACACTTGTTGTTATTCTTTTGGGACATTTTGTTTTGTCTTTATGTGCTGAAGATTCAGAACTCATTTTTCTCCTCTTTTTTTCCACATTGAAATGACATTTAACTTGAAGAGTTTTCCACCTGTCTTCCCCCTGTATATTACCCGTAGGCTGTGTTGAACATCTGAACTTCCATCTTGTGGGAAACTCCCCCAAATTTCCTGAAGATAAGAAGAAAAAAAAAATAGCTCTATATAGAAAGGTTTGGCTATACCTGCTCTTTTTGGTTAATCAGCAATAGGACGTAGGTATGCATTACTGAACCGTGTGGGAGCCTTAGGGACCAAAGCAGAACACTTTGAACTACTCAGCTTTCCACAGGTGCCTGTGTAATACACTGCATTTGCAGCCTGCTCTGTTATTGTCTCCTCCAGCAGCGGAACCCAGGGCTAGAGGGCTATAAGTACACTTGACTTCAAAGATGGCACTTAGCTTTGTCACCAGTGTGTCTGCACTTATTTCTTGTCCAGACAGTATTACTCCTTTGGCATATGTTGTCATGAACACGGTTTTCCCGGAGAGTTTGCCAGTTGGTTAGCTCGCAAGCATATGTGTTTATATATAGTTGCAGTAGTTTATTCTGTTCGGGTTCTTGTATGTGCTGTTAATTATGGTATCCAGAAATATTACATAATGTTTTAATATTTAATACCTTTATTTAAATCTATGCATTTTGTGGATGTCAAAGAAAGAGAAGAAAGTTTATTTTCAGTTATGCTAATAATGGTATTAGTGGTTTTGTGACGTGGTGGTAAAACTATTAATGTTTAAGATTTGAGAAGTCTAGCCAAGACATTTATCCTAACTAAAAGAACATCTGACTAAAAGCTAACAGCCTGTGATTGTTTCCAAATCAGCACTTCTGAGCTGAGGTAATATTGGGTCTGCCACTCCTACGGGCTCCACCAAGAGCCATACCTCTATATTGTCACATTATTTACTGTTTGATTCCTTCTTAGAAGTGTGGCAGTTAGCAAGCTGCTTAAGGAGTCCATTCCTCCAGGGACGGATACCTGGCTTTGCTAACATTGAAATGATTGGGTTTTTTCACCTCTTCCTTTATTCTGAAACTGTATATAGGCTGGGTCTCTGGGATCACTTGGCAGAGAACAGGGGAGCAGGGGGGAGATGCTGTCCCAATGTTCTCTCACTATGATCAGAGTTCATAAAGCTTCTGCCTGACTTGTCCTAAATGTTACTTGCATTATTACGCGCTTGGAGCTCCCAGATTCTCTCCAGCCGTGACCTGCTTGCAGAGATGCGTTGTATGCTTTTCTCTGATTTTGTGGAAAGCTTGAAGGACTGTCACTTGGCTTCTGAATTTCGTATCTCCAAAGTCTGTTGATTTTCTTTTCCAAAACTTTCACTGCCTGAAAAATGTTCTTAATTTGCTTGATTTGTGACATTGTGTCATTTTTGCATTTCACATCTTTCTCCTTCAAACTACTCTTTTACCATGGACTTAGAACCAATTGAAAGCTGGGTATTTTGTCACTGAAAATTGATTTCTTGATAAACATTTTATCCTTAATCCAGCCTTTCTGTCTTCTTACTTCCTGCTGTTCATGCCTGACATATTCTTCTCGGTTCAGTTTTGGCAAGAACTTTCCTTCAAACCTTCCTTATAAGCACTTGTATTCCAGTAAATCTTTCTACTCTGTCCTCCTACTGGTAATGCCTGCATTTCTCCAGGCATTTGACATTTTTGGTGTTTAGAGATAATATGTGCAGTATCAGATACTTGTATTTAGTGCCATATAACATATAGGTTTGGGGTGTCCTAATGGATCGATGAGGAACTTAAATAGGTCATCCAAGAGGAGTCTTTTGTACTGCAACCTCCATTATGGATGTAAATTGCTTTTTGTATTAAAGATTCAAAAGAGTTAAGTCATTGCTGCTTTTTTTGTCTAACACATTGCTGTTTTTTTATCTCAGTATGAGATTTCTTTCCTGCTGCTAGATACAGTTTGTTATAAATGCTAGGGTCATTCACAAGTGGATTCTTCCAGAAGTTTTCAATATATTCCCCAATATGCTGTAGTCATTAATATGCAAAGGCAAACTGTAGATGAGAAGGTTTGGGATGGAGAAAGAGAAGTAATGGCATTAGTTTTGATAAGTCTTTTTTTTCCCCTGAAATGACAAAGCTTATTCTTGGGCTTGTTGAAAGACAAATCAAAGAGTACTGCATAGTATACTCTGAAAGCATTTTCCCCTTTAGTTTAAATAGGGTTTCACACTATTATTTTTATTAATTATAGCATCTACTTACTATTAATATAGTCTCCACTAAAAAAAAACAGGTACAAAAAATTACCTATATTAAATCTGAATGAACGGTCTTTCATTATTTCCTGGTAAATAAAAATGAAAAAGCTGCGGTTTCAGTAATTAAGCGGCAGTGGTTAGTTTAGAAATCTCAATTCTTCCTGATAAAATGTATAGTGCTTTGTGGCATTTTTATCTAAAGATCACATGGATGTGCACTGTCGAGGTGAAAGAATACAGAGTGATTTAAAATGCACGCTGACTACACAGCATATACAGGCATTCAAATATGTACATGGATTGGCACATAAACACCAAGCATACGACCTGCTCCATTGAACAACAGCATTTGTAAGTCATAGCTGTTGAATGTTAAATATGGAAATAATTGGAGTTAACTCATGCAGTGAAACTGTAGTAATGCAGACTAGGCGTTACAGTCCTGGCATAAATCTGTTGAAGCAGAGAGACAGCTCAAAAATGAGGATAAATTGCTTCTGCTTTGCAGTGCTCCATTTCACTGTTGTCTTGTATGTGTCTGCCCATTGCTCCTTTCTCTGAATGGATGTTTTAGTGCTTCTGGTTAGTGCTGCAGTCATACCCTGAGAAACTAAAATCTCCATTCAATGCTTGAGATAAATACTGCAAAATCAAGAACGGGGCACCTCTTCCTGCGGCGCAAGGTCTCTCAGCAGAGCTGACCTCGGGTCTGTGGTGATGCTGGGGAGAGAGGGTCAGCCTTTCTCTGTGTTCGAACTGCTTACCTTCATAACGGTCGTGACAAAGTGGCTAAACAGCATCAAATGGGATTGTGGTTATTTCTCCTGTAGCGGTAGGTACCGTGAATCATGGGGATGGCCAGCTGCGCTTGGATTAAGACACTGAAAAACCATCAGCAGCAAAACTACATTTCTAAGGAGAAAAAGCTTGTAAGGCGATTATGGATAGAATCACCCACAGCTAATCATCAGTAGGCCTGAAGCACATATCTCAAGCTTGGGCTTAGATAGCTCTGAGGTTTATATTTCTGTGTTCCCTGCATTTCTAACTGATTCCTGTTGGTTGCAGGCAGTGGAATGGCAATGTGATGAAGCTACTAAAAGAGCCTGTTACAGTAAAGGCAAATCAAAGGTAAGCAAGAGGCAGCTGTTCTGCTTTAATAATATTTATGTGCTAATAGCAGGTGTAATTCAGTGTATAAATCTCTACCTTATGCATTTTTAGTGTCTCACTTTCCAAAGAGAACTGTAGAAGAGGAGTCTGACACTGATGTATAAGTAAAGGAATAAAAAACAATATAGGGAGTGTGGGGTGAGAGGTACAGTCACGTGTTTCTTTTCTGAAATGATCAAGAACTTTAGTTTCCAACAATTTACTGTTTTGACTCTACAACATGTCATATGTAATGGGCTGTACTCTCACTTCATTTTCAGTGCTGTAAATCCCGAATAACTGTGTAATTACTTTGTAAAATCCTCAATTTATTTCCCTGTGTATTAGATGCAATTTTAGGAACATTTATATTTCATATCTACTGGCACTATGAAGAAAATAATACGAAATTCACTGACTTTTTAGACATGGGACTTGATGTAATTTTAGTATTCAGAACCGATTCCTTATCGGGCCAACTACAATTTCTTTTATTCAGCACAGGTAAGTGCAATGCGGATGCTGTATTCTTTAGTGGCTGTCCTAAGCTGAAGCTAGTTATCAAATTAATTATAAAATAAGTTACAAATGCATGCCATCTCTATCTGTAATTATTATACTGTTTAAAGTTAATTGACTTAAAACATAAAGGGAGAACACATCAAGAGTGATAACCACAGAAAAGCACATTTGCTTTCAGGACCCACGTTCGGTAGGACATGTCAACATATGTTATTAACGTGCAAAACTCAAAAAAACCCCCCAAGCTTCAAAAACATATTCCAAATGCTTATACCACCTGGTAGAGGAAGAGTCTCTTCTGCATAGTCATCTAATCACTGACTTTTTACCTTCTTCCATTAAACAGTTCATTTCCAGCTTTTTTTACTAAGTGCTGGAAAACAATGTTGCAGTGTACCCTTGGCCTATCCTTTTCTGTTTGGGATTAAAGAGGAAGAATGGCCTCACTTCAGAAACATGCTATACCGTGAGGAGAGAAAAAGACATAATTACTTGGAAAAAAAAGCAAGAGTAGTGAATGTGCAGTGTAAAGCCTCATGCATGGAAGATGATTGTCTTTATGGAGGAACATCTTTCCCTGTAGAAATGAGTTTATAGTAGTGGGAAAAGGCATTAAGAATGGTGTTGCCTTCTTTGTCCTTCTCCTTTCCTTTTCTTTCCATCCTAGTGTAAGAAATGTATTTAAGTGTTACTGGTCACTGGGTATTAAGGCGCAGGATTTACTAGGTATATAGAAGGTATTAATAGCTGGAGAAAAGAAATAGGTTAGATTTTACCTAAAGCTTTCTAACTTGAGTAGACAAACTCTGGTGACTCAAGTTATGTGTGAAGGTTTTAATGGAAGAAACAGCATCTAGCAAGTGTTCTGATCTACAATGTTACTTGTCAGTTTGTGAAGAGAGAACAAAGAACTTTTGGGACCTCATACTTTAAGCAAATGTTTCATTTTGTAAGTTGTAATTTCTCCCTGGAAGATTTATTCTTGTTCTTGTAATATATCCCTCAAGCTTTTATCCTTAGTCTTGAGATGACAATACTCTGAAGGAAGAGAGCATGCTCAGGTGACAATAGAATATGACAATTTGCATTGATCAAGGTGCATATACAGTAGAAACTATCATGGTAGGAATGCACTGTGTAACTAAGAGTTTATGCCTCTGTTTTACAGTGATTTTCCAAGTTTAAAACTGTGAGAATAACATTCAGTTTGTCTGAAAATCACAGTGCAGTGACTGATCTACCATGACGGGTGACAGTAATGGTAAATTGGAGACTATAGTAGTGTACTTTTGAATATTATGTTTGCAGTACTGTTTGTGGTGTAAAATCCCCATTCAATTGAACAGTGCAGAGTCGTATTTTGCTATTAAATAATTTTGCTAGGAGAAATACTCAACACTGGTGAAATGCATTTAAGAATGGACCTTAGTGTAGTACATACGTGCAGATTTTCATTCATGCTCATCGTACCCTTTTGAAGAAGCTGATGATTAGAAGTTATGCTGTCATTGTAAAATATTATAAATGCTATTCTAATAACGACCTCTGAGATTGTTTCTTAGTATTTTTATGGGTTGGATAAAGATTTAGTGCTTCATTTGTATCCATAGCCTTGTTCCTCACAATCTAGAAGAGAAGTACAGTCCTTTGAAGGTAATCCTGAGAGGAAATAGTTCTTTTCTTATTGTTACTATAGGGCTTTTTTTTTTGATGTGCAAACTTTGTGGCTTGAAAGCTTCATGTAGGAGTTGCTGGAGAGTGCAGAGATGTTGACTGAGGCAGCCTACCCAGCTGGAACGACGACTTTTCATGCCTCTCTCGCTTTCACTGGTGTGACCAAGATCAGAGAAAGGATAGCCTAATGATGTTTGTCTTCTATTGCCTCATGATGAAGACTAGAACAAGGCCACTATACTCTCTGTATAAGAAGGACTTACACATGCAGATGAGGAAAGCACCTGATCTGTGGTGTGCTCCCCTTCCTAGGCAAACCACTAAAGACTTCCCTTGGAAAAACAGAATTATCAGGCCAGGAAGAATTCACTCCAGTGCTACAGTGAATTGTCCCTCTTCCAAGGAAATCCCCTGGGAGACACAATTCCAGTTACTGTTATCAGAAAGACTGCTTGCTTGCTCATTACTGTATAAATAGATCCAGCACGAACTGGAGACTTGCTGGGGGGCTGCATTTCTATAACATTTCTCAGGGCAACTTCGGATTTCAGGGCAGGCACATGTGTGACTGTAGGGAAGGGACAGGAAAGATTGGAGACAAAATTATACAAGGCCAGCCCAGACTGTGGCAAAGGAGAGATGAGGATTACAAGGGTGGCTGTGGGTTAAGTTATTCATCCAAATCCTGGTTTCTCTTGAAGCTCTGTGGCCGACAGAGTAGCATGGGGGCAATGAGTTCAGGCAGCAAAACTAAAAGTCAGCTTGCTGATGGGGTGCCCTGAAACCAGAAGCTAGCTTTGAACCCTGAAGCAACTCTAGTAGTTTTGAGATAATGGTCAGTTAAACACGAGTCTTTTTTTTTTTTTTTTTTTTTTTTTTTTTTTTTTTTTTTTGTTTTGAGGAAAAAAGCCGCACAGAATTTTTGCCTCAAACTGTTAGCAGTGGTTGTTCTGAGGTTTATGCTTTAGGAGCCAACGAGGGAAAAGAGCTGAAGGAGAAAATATATAGGGACATCTGCCACATTTGACAGTGTAATGTGCACTTGACTTTTGAAGGCTGAAGTTTGTTACTGAGACTTCAGACTTTTATCCACCAATTTAAGCTGTAGCTTAAAATAACTAGTGGCTCCAGAAGCGAGCCAGACAAAATGATGTCCTTGTGGCCAGCATGCGTTAGCATTTAGAAGTCTAAAACACCACACATGGTTAAGAGAATAAATTTGGCCATTCAGACTGGCACTTGTGGTAAGGACTGTTATAAAGTAAAAATATAAATACACATGGTAAAAATACAATAAACCAAAGAAAGATTAAAAAATATATATATAATTGAAGTAAATCTCTTATCCCTTGTTTATTTCAGATTCTAACGGCTGTGTGTGTTAGCATCTGAATTTTCAATAAAAGTATTAAAAAATTAAACACAGGTGTTTTTATAATGTTCGCCTATACAAGAAACATTGCTGTAAATGGATAACCATATCCAGCCAGATTGTACTTGAACTGTCAAGCTGGTCTTAAACTTAAGTAGCTGTTTCTAACAGTTGTATTTTGTTTCAGGTATGCTGGTATAAAGGTAGAAAGTACTAGCTAAATGAATTTCTTTCTTTCAAAGGTATTTTTATAGGAGAATAGGAAAGTATATGGCAGAGAGGTCAAGACGAAATGGAGATTAAGGCTATGTAAAAGAGGGCCACCAAAGCTACCACCACCCTCCAAACTGAAAAACCTTTGGTTTTTAAGTCCTTTGCATTCACCAATGCCACTTCTACAACACACATCTCTTTTTTTGCACAGCTAAAAAGTGAACCCGCTGAATTTGACTCCAGAGCAGAAAAGTTACTCTGAACAATTCGAATGACTAAATAACGGAGTCATTTTCATTATGGTTTTGGGTGGTGATTGTTTTACTCATGACTAATTTTTTTTTAATTTGTTTTGTATTATTTTGGATTTGTCATATGAAGAAAATAGCCAATTATAAAAGCTATTCTTCCAGTTTGGGTTTTGTTGTACTATGTACCCCACAGAAATTTGATATGAGCTATCTTATTTGCCCTGTTGCAGTATGGATTGTTGTGAAGTTGGCACAGGACTTGGGAACATTAAAGAGAAGAATCTTGTGAATCCCAGGAATGTCAGAGTTTAAAAAATTAACATTATTTTTGAACAGAAAGAGTGGGTGATCAGCCTGCAAGTAATTTGGCAATGGCACTATTTCAGGGAGCTCTGGAATATGAAGAGGAGACGTTGGATGGGTTGTAATGTCAGTACCCACTTATTTTTCCTACACTTACATTCCATGGCTTTCTGCAAAGGGCAAGATGGAAGTAGCCCAAAGAATAAATTACTGTGTTATGTTCTATGAACCTCCCTGAGCACCCTTCCCACAAAAAAAAGAAGGAATTGCTGCCTCTTCCCCCCCCTCCCCCTTGGTGTAGTTAAAACAACCTGCAACAGGGAAATGGCCTAGAAGTGAAATAATTACTTTTTAAAAGGCTCGTTGCACTGCCCAGCTCTCTTATATGGTTGCATATTAGCTTCTGTTTGGTTGAAAGAATGTTAAGATGACAGTTTTGTTAAGTTCAAGATAAAGTTGTTGTATTTTTGCCTAATGGGAATCAAATTTTAATTCTAAGATGTTTGACACTTACCTTTAAAGGCTCAAACTGAAGCGTTTAAAAGCTACATTTGCATGAGAGACTAAAGCGAATGTAGGTTTGGGGGGTATTTTTTCAAAGAGGTGGTTTTTTTCTGAGATTTTACTGGGTGGTGGGTGGTGGTTTTTTTTAAACTTCATTTTGTATTAGGAAAGGTATAGATAATAGATTCTGAGAGTTTTCTCAGAGATCTTTAAAGTATTTTGCCCGTCTTGTTTTGCAGTCTGTTTTGTGCCTGTTCAATTTATTCAGGATTATATTTCTTGTCTTCCAGGATGAGAGTCTATTTTCAAGATAAACAAGCAATACATTTAATATAGCTGTAGGCCATATAAAGGGACTTCTGCACCATTACTATTACATGGATTTACTTACACGATTCCACTTAATATCTCTTAGAATTGCACAGCTGTATTTTCACAAGTTGTTTTTTTAATGCTTTACATGAGACTACCTTGTGAATAAATGCTGGAGAGCATTCAAATGGAAAGTTCCAGGAAACTTTATTTTTTCCAAGCATATTGTTGATTTTGTTCATTTTATTAGGTAGGGACATTGATTTTTGCAGGAGGAGTGTTTGATTCTTTCCTACATACGGTTCTGGGAGATTTTTAGTATTGCAGAAAAAGGCTTTCTATCTGAATAAACAGTAGAAATTGCTGTTGGTTTCTAGCTTCTGAAATGAGAGAAATGAACATCATAAAGCTTTCACACATCCTAATGTGTTAAAAAGCATGTCAGATTATTCTTCAGGGGTGAGCATCTATATATTGAGGTAATGAAATTTCTTGAGAAATTTCAAATTAACAGAAACATAGATGCTTCTAATAAAACATATTGTGCAAATTATGAAACTAGTAGTGACAAATCTATGTCTGAACATCTCAAGAATTTTATTTGTACTGGTTCCAACATACTTGTGTTACTGATAGCCAGTTCTTTCTCCTGTTTTCCTCCCAACCTCCTCCCTTGGCCTGATCTGTCTTCAAACCCAGCATCTGATCCATTGAGACAGCAGTGCATTATTTAAGTCAGCATCTATCACTTCAGAGTTTAGCTAAACCTATGAAATATACACTTAGAAGAAATCTTCAGTACTGAAGAAGTTTGTTGTTACCCTATTAAGAACTTCTCACAAAGACTGATGGATGCATGTGTTGTTGTTAGGAAATTTATGTATATAATTATTGCTAACACATCAGGTGTGCTCAGGCCTTTTTCCCCTAAATTTTTGTGTGGACACAAAACCATGGAAAGCAAATCGTAATTGGTCTCCCCCATCCTTTGAAGTACCACTGAATATAGTCTTTCTTTTCTGCATGGCAGGAGGAATGCCAGAACTACATTCGAGTGCTTCTTGTTGGAGGGAACCATCTCTTTACCTGTGGAACCAACGCGTTCACTCCTATCTGCACCAATCGGACGGTATGAGTTCAGGGTTTCGTCCCACCAGCTCGAGTCTTTGTTCTGAGCCAGCAGACCAAAAGGCAGAGCGCGCTGTGGTTGAGTCCACGCTGTTTGTGTCCTGGTGGGTGAGCTGATGTGTAAAAGGCTGATTTGGCGAGTAGCAGGCCAAAGAGCAGAGTTCTCCTGTGATCTCCTTCTGCGGTCTTCTCCTAAGCTGTGCGAGAGAGCACAGCTACGAGCAGCTCAGTTCCTCCCACGTGCCAGTTTTTTATGAACCGTAGGTATTTCTAAGACTTCTGCCACTCTGTCAAGTTTGGTTGGCATCAACTGATTTAGTTACAAGATGTAGTTGGGTAGCTGCCTACTGTGTACGTGTAGTTCTGGAGAAGATGAGAGTACCAGTATTAGTGATTTCTGACTGGCAAGAATGAGAAATCTTGGTGGACAAAATCTGTCATTCTGTTTCTGGAAAAAAACCTAGTTGTCATGAGTATCAAAGCAAGAGAGTCCATTAAGGATCAATAATAGTCATAATAAAAATCAAAATGTCACTGTTTGCACTAAGCTGGCTATTTATTTCAGGAGGGGAGGGGAGAGGTGTTTTAATACAAAGAATAGCTGTATCACCAAAAAACTCATTGGCACATTTATTATAATTAAACCTATTGTACCTTTATTTTCAAATAACATATTAACATCATACTGTGGTTTATGGCTGAAAGCATTAGGGCTACTAAATCAGAGAGTTAGTTCTGCTGAACTGGAAAGCTCTTTTTTTTAATCTCATTTTTCAGGTGAGATTCTTTCCTAGGACACACCAACAAAACAAATAGATTATTTTTTTTTCGTTGTCTGACCATTTGCTACGGTGAATATCTTAGCTGATTCTGGCAATCAGATCTGGTTTTCATAATATCAGTCTGTCTAGAGATAATTAATTTTTGGGTTGCTTCTAATATAAAACATTTTAGGCATGGTGGCTAATGATTAACTTGCATGTTTTACATACCAAAGTGGCAGAAGTGAGATCAGACAACATTACAGTAAAACTTTTTATATGAGACAGTTTGAGATTGATGTAAAGGTCAGCTCATTACTATTGTACAATACCACAGCAGATTACTGGTGTTTATGGTAGGATTTTGCTCAGATTGATGCAGCTTGGCTGAAATGATAATATTCAGGTCGTTTTAATTCCTTTTTCTCACTCTTTTACAGTTAAGTAACTTGACAGAGATACACGATCAAATCAGTGGCATGGCTCGTTGTCCTTACAGTCCTCAGCACAACTCTACTGCTCTTCTCACTTCCAGTGGGGAATTATATGCTGCTACAGCCATGGATTTTCCAGGAAGGGATCCTGCTATTTATCGCAGTTTGGGGGCCCTTCCTCCTCTCCGCACTGCCCAGTACAACTCCAAGTGGCTGAATGGTGAGTGCTGATGGACCATGAGACTCATCTTTTTTTAACCCATGTTCTCCATATTCAGTCTTGAAATTCCATTCTGAGAGTTTGAATGTTTTTAGAGTATTGTTTATCTCATTTAAAAATTATTTTGCATAATATTTTTTATTTTACAAGTATAATTATTATGGTATTTAATTAATATAGTTGCAGTTCGTAGACGTGCACTTAAATATTTACGTCATGTTTGCAGGCACAGGCATGAGCTGTACTGTATCTCTCAGATGCGCTCACATGGCAAAGCTGAGTCAGCCAAGAGCCGCAGCTTGCCTTGAGCATTCTTTTGTGGAGTCTTTCAGAAACCTAAGGCAGAAAATAAACAGTTTAGAAACGACTGAATTCTCCTGGCTTTCCCTGGAGGTCCCAGCCTTGACAAGCAGAAAATGTTGTGCTTTCAAGCTTCTTAGGTGGCAGACTGACGGTTTTGACACTAATTATAGCCAAAGGATAGGGACTAGTCTGCAAAACATATCATAAAATCGTGTTATAGCAATGACTCGTGTGGCATGGATGTTAATCACCTGATGAGGATTTCCAGCTGGGAGAAGCTGTAAACTGATAGGTATTCCTCAGATGTAACAGGGCCAGTTGCCATTTTATGTATTACAAAAAAGAAGCAGATTCTTCTAAAATGAAAATTATTATTTAACATAAAATGTGAAATTATGTATATTATAATTTGCCTATGCTTGTCTCAGTAGAAAGAAACCCATATTTTCATAACTCATGCTATGTGACACAACAGTCACTATTCCCACAGTGCATTTCATGTTCTGATGGGATTATTCTCATGTTTGAAATTAAGTACAAATACAAACTCTTCTAGCTTCAGAACATTAGGTCAGCTGCGAGAGACAGACTTTATTTTGAGTATTTCAGTTCTCATATAATCTGAATGCTGAATTGTGCATATTTACTTGGTGTATTTTTCTGTACAAAGAAGCCATCAGAGGTAGCTTGGAGAAATTTGTGACCTTCTCTGAAGGTCAGCCGATTTTAGAATAATAATTAACAAACCAAAACCAAACTGCATGGAACATAACAGAATTATAGCAGTTCAAAAGAAATGAGAGAGGAAGAATGAGCTCATTGTATAGATATCCCTGTTCAGGTGCCTTTTCTCCACACAGCCGTGGTATTGGAGCTAATTGCTGTGCCATACCTGGGTGCTTCTGTCAAAGGGAAAAAATTCTTCACACTGAATTTTCAGTTTAAATGGATGTGTTTTATGCCAAAGGGCACACTAAAATTCCCCCCACCACCACTCCTCTAATTAATCAGATTCACTGTATTTACAGTTTGTCTATTATAACTCTTGCTGCTAGTAGGATATGTGGTGAGAAATTATGACCTAAGAACAAAAATTAATCCTTTCACTTTTGCTTTTAAGGATTAATGGAAATAGCTATGACGATTCAGGGTTATCCTTTTGTTTTTCTGTTTTTTAATGAAAAGCCTTGTAATTACCTAGTGCAAGCTTTTCTTATTATGTAATATTCTATGTAACTCAAAACCAGTGTGTGCTTGAACTGTGCAATTTGGTCTTTAGCTTTCAGATAAGAGACCTGACTGAAAATATGCAAACCATATGCTACCGGTTGTTGCTTGTTTTGCAAGAAAATAAATTAATTACTTTCCTTTGGTTGTGCCACCCGTAAGGTTGGTTCTGCTCTTTTATGCATATCATCCTTTTTGCTGGTATCCTAAAATTGGAGAGAAATGCCTGCTGGTTTTGAAACCCATCCTTAGTTTTCTTCACTGGAGATGCTACTAGAGGAAAAATTTGAGCAGTTGTGCTGTGTTTTTCCTTTCAAAGCTGTACATCTTCTCCCAGATGGCAATGACAGAGTAGGAGAGCAGTAAGTTGATTCGAGATGGAGGTGCCTCCCCTGAATTCCTTTCTCCAACACCAGACTAAGTTATTGCAAAACACCTCCATAGCATTTCCTCACCCATCTAAAATAGAATCATAGAATCATTTAGGTTGGAAAAGACCTTTAAGATCATCGAGTCCAACCATTAACCTAACATTGCCAAGTCCACCGCTAAACCATGTCCCTAAGCATCATGTCTGTATGTCTTTTAAATCCCTCCAGGGATGGTGACTCCACCACATCCCTGGGCAGCCTGTTCCAGTGCCTGACAACCCTTTTGGTGAAGAAATTTTTCCTAATATCCAACCTAAACCTCCCTTGGTGCAACTTGAGGCCATTTCCTCTGGTGCTATCGCTTCTTACTTGATAGAAGAGACCGACCCCACCTCCCTGCAACCTCCTTTCAGGTAGTTGCAGAGAGCGATCAGGTCTCCCCTCAGCCTCCTTTTCTCCAGGCTGAACAACCCCAGTTCCCTCAGCCGCTCCTCATAAGACTTGTGCTCCGGACCCTTCACCAGCTCCGTTGCCCTTCTCTGGACACACTCCAGCCCCTCCATGTCTTTCCTGCAGTGAGAGGCCCAAAACCGAACACGGTGCTCGAGGTGTCACCTCACCGGTGCCGAGTACAGGGGATGATCCCTGCCCTGCTCCTGCTGGCCACACTATTTCTTCTACAAGCCAGGATGCTGTTGGCCTTCTTGGCCACCTGGGCACCTGCTGGCCCATATTCAGCCGGCTGTCGACCAGCCCTTCTCCAGGTCTTTCTCTGCCAGGCGGCTTTCCAGCCGCTCTTCCCTAAGGCTGTATCGTTTCATGAGGTTGTGCCCCAAATGCAGGACCCAGGTGGTAAAGACAGGCAGCACTTCCCATGAAGGTGGGATTTTTTTTTTCTTCTTACATACCCTAGGTAAAACAGCAAGGTCCACCTTCCATTTATGAAAAGTCTAGGAGGCTGCTGAGGGGAGAGCCTGTTCTTTTATATCTCATCTGTCCCACTCATGTCAGGTGCCAACTGAAGAGGCTGAGCGAGGAAGGAGGAGAGGCACCCCTGCGAGGAGATCGTCAGTGCCCAGCTGCGGAGAGGCGTGACAGGACCGTCAGCCTCATTAATGCAGCAGAAAACTGTAATACACAGTGAGCCAGAGAGAATGGAAGAACTTAGAACTGAAATCCATCTCAGCCAGGGGGAAGGTAGAAAAAGGGATGAATTTGGGGGAACGTGAACAGACAAAAACCAGCATTCACCAAAGAAAGGAGGAGGACAGAAATATTGGAGGCAGAGATAGATTTTAGTAGCAGACATACCAAACCTTAAGGTGAAAGGGAAAGGGGATGATTATGAAAGTGAACTCTGGTTTCATTTCTGTTATGAAAAAACAAACAAATAAAAAACCTAAAAAAAACCCCAAAACTCAAAAAAAGAAGGGAAAAAAGCAAAGAGGACTGGGTCTTCAGGGAAAGCCTTTTCATCATCTCCCTTCCTGCAAAACCAGATCAGAGAAAAAAAAAAAAAACAGCAGTCCAAATGTTTGGAGAGAAGTGGGTAAGCCATCATAATTGGGTTTGCTTTCCATACCATACCTGCTGGTTGGCAAAATCTGCTTAAAGCAAGCTAGGGGGTTTTGTTCTTGTGTATGTGGGATTACGGATTCTGAGTTTTAAGTAACCATCGAAAGTTCTGCATCTTTCAGTAGATCCCTACAGACCAAACCTCTAGTGATTCTGAGTGAATTAAGGTAGTCCTCTATATTTTTTATCCTTGCCCCTCCCCCAATATACTCCTATGCAAGGTGTCTCTCCAGTGAATATAGGTGATGGAAAATCCACTGAACTCCAGATGGGACTCTCAAGGACTTGAGTAGGTATTAGATCAGAGTAGAGAATGGTTTCTGTCACTAAGTTTGTCACTGGCAAATTTGCATCAGCAAAATAATATAATGAATTGCAAAATATTATGCCATGTAAGAACGCTTTACCTTGAAAATGAAGGAGATTTATTTGAGATAAACAACAGGCAATAAACCAAGGGATTTTGTAATACCATATTTAAAAACTGTTTTTCAGAAAAGAAATAATTGCGTTTCAGAATTTATTACAGTACAACAATAAAATGTAATATCTAATGAGTGCATCCACTTTTATGATAATACTGAATTGTATTATAAAATCTATCAGCAAAACAAGAGAAGATTGGAAAAAATGTCTGGCATACACAGTTTTAGTGTGTTTTGCAGTCCTTGCTCTTCCATACCCATAAAATCTTCAATTTAGCAAAAGGAAAAGAATGTAAAAGACATCATGGAGAGCTGAGGCATTGCAGAAGAAATAGTAGTCAAAATAGATTGGTAGCCAGCTATGCTATGACTGACTAGCATTTTAAGCATGTGTCCTAGATAATTATGAAGTACAGAGGAAAAATAGCTATTACAATGATTTCCGCCACTTTTATACTAGGATTTAACATTTTACAGTTCAGTTCCTGAGGGTGGATGTAACTATGATGACTACAAGTTACATGTTACTTTTAAGATGTTTAACTCTGTAGGAAAATTTTACTCTATGATTAAGATTTGTTGTTAAATATTCATGAGCACTGATGCCTTGGTCAACCTAATGCAAGACCTATACTATTTTCCAACAGCTGCAGAGGGCTGCACTGAATTAATATACTTAATGAATATACAGGGATTACAAAATGCAAATCAGAAATGGACTTCATTAATTATGTTAGTAAGGTGAAGAAAACAAAAACAGACTGGCGCATTTGGAGCTTAAATTCTTTCCGTTATTTTAAGCTTCCCTTTTGGACAGCATTTCTTGCTGGAGGTTGAACCTTGTTAAAAAAAAATTCAAAGGCATCTTCCTAGAATTTAATGCCAGTAAGTGTTTAGCTGAATAGAAATATTTGGAAGAAATGTGTCTTTAAAGGCCAATGGTATGAGGGTGTGATTCATTCATCTCGTGAGGTCAATGAACATGCACCAGACAGTTGTTGTTCAGCATTAGACCAGTTTGTAGGCTTCCAAGATTTTGACTATATTATACGTGCACATATCTGTATGTGTCTTATTTTTTGTACATGTATAATCTGATCTGTGTCTAGATCTGACAAACTTCTAATTTTAGTTTTCTTTTCACATTTCTCGGGCTAATTTCACTTTTGACTGGGGTATCTGAATGCATTGCGCTTGAGATGCGAGCAGTCACTTCTCACAGGGCCAGTCAGTGGAAATCACAGCTCTTTCTTGCTGAGAGTAGGCTTTGGACCTTGTAATCCTTAAGGTTAATTGCTGTTATCTCTGGACAGACAGACAGATCATCCCCTGTCATTTGGTTCGCTCTGGAAGCAGCAGCATCCACTAACTAAGTAAATGAAGTCATATTAGTCTACTTCAGAGGATGTGGGGTTTTAAAGAGTAAAGAGCACAAGCCAACTTTCTTGCTCCAAAGCTCGGGAAGCGAGAAGAGGCCAGGACTGCCTCGGGTGCTCTCACAGAGCTCTCTCAGGCTCCTGTTTCCCATTGCTCTTCCCAGAGAAAGTTTCTGTACAGTCCCTCTCATCCTTTTACCTACTCTGTCTGCATCGGCACCACTAAATTAAAAAGGCCCAGGAAATAAGCTTACGCACGACACCCTTGGTCATCCATATTGCTCACTTCCCAGCCTGGTTTTGGACCACTCCAGCTACTGCTTTCCCAGTGAAATCCTGGGTGCGACTCAGGGAGAAGTTTGCCGTATCCACTGTTAGCGAGAGCCAGGACAGGTGGGGATGCACCGTTTGGCTCCTCCTGCCCTCCAGAGTGCCCCATCCCATTCCCAGTAAGCTTTGCACTCCCGACCCCCCCGGTCTGTCCTCACGCGTGCAGCACACCTTTGCTTTCATGCTCCGAGAACGCCATTCTGCGGGCTGCAGCGTCAGCCTGTGCTGCCTGGCAGAGCCGCAGCCGGTTCCTACAGGAGCAGCCGGCACCGTCGGGCGGCATCAACGTGCCGCCGGCCTGGCAGCGACTGCGGACTTGGTCTCTTTGGTTTCCGAGTTCCCTGGGTGGGTGGAAAGGGAAAATAATCCAAAGGGAAGCGTTGTCTCTTGCTCGTAAGTGCCTTCTCATTAAGAACAGAGAGACCACGCTCCCTGGAAAATGTAGGTTTCTCTCCAACCTTTAGGAAAATAATTAGATTATTTCAGATTGAAGCACTATCTTGACTTCACACGGTTCAGTCATCTTTTTTGCAATAACTTAGAAGAGTCTATGGGGAAATGTTCTTGCAGGACAGTCACGCTGCTTTATGAAGGAAGCCGTAGAGATTCCCAGGCTTTGTGCTGAGTAAGCAAACTTCAGAAATAGCACCCTACAGTGTGTTTGCCCAGAGGCAGCACTAACTGGCCAGGCAGTGCTTTCGGCACACGGGTTTGTGTATCTGTGTAGCGCTGCTCCATGTTATACGCTGGAGATCTTTGTCATGTCACACTGACAGACTCGTTTTCTTGCTCTCCTGATTCCATTGGTTCCATTTAATTTGGGAAAGTCTAGTCAGCCTGACACATCCATAAATTGAATATATAAAAACCTATAAAGGTCGTATGCAATAGTCATGGTGCATTATTACAGGTTGACATTCTCATGTTGTTCCATACTAGCTCTGTCCTGTCATGTACCAGAATCCTTGCACTTCTTGTGGTGACCTAATAATTCACAAATAAGATGCGTTTAGTCTTCCAGAACTATTTGCAAATTCAGCAGGAAACGAGAGAGTCATTTCATTTGCTGCATTAAAAACCTTTATGGGAAGGCCTCCATGTCAACAAATAGCAGTTCACAGCACAATATTTGAAAACATATGAACTAATTTTTCCTAGATGGGAATCTCCTTTTTCCTTTGAAGTGATTCAGATCACTTTTCCCAAAAAGAAAATGAAATAAATAAAGTCTGACATGATAATCCTTCCATATCCACAGAATTCCCTGAGGTAGCTCTGAGATTATTATATTTCATGCAAATGAAAACAGTTTTCACAAGTTTCGACAGCAGGTCACATTTTCATCAGTTCAGAATCAGTAAAGTATATGCATAGGTGTTTGCAGATGTATGTATTGTTTCTCAGTTTTGAATCCATGAAATATGAGTACTAGTTTTTATTTATACATGTATTATGGTTATCAGGGCAACTTTAAAATATTGTCTCTTGATAGATTGACATGGATTTTTCAAGAACCCTAAAAACAGTATGAATGCATTTCATATGATTTTTATTCTTGCAGTCCATGAAGATTTTATTTGTAATTCATTGTTTTCCAGACCTTGAGTGCTTCTAGTAGTGTTTCTCGCTCTGCAGTGAGATCCTATTGTGCCAACGTAGAGACCGTTTTATATCAGTGGGCCTCCAGCGAGGAGCAGCAGCATCAGGCCCCATTGCAAGGCAGGGCCTCCGTGTTTAGTGGTTGTACAGGGTGGTTTTGTGGGTGGATCAAGTTGATGTTGAGTGTTTGCACAATAAGTAGAATCTTTTTACATCAGTTGAGACATCTTTGAGATAATTTCAAAGAGAAAGCAGGGTTATAGGCTACAAAAAGTCAAATGCATAGTTGGAAAATTTTACTTTTCCATGCTGTTTCAGGTGGATTGTTTTTCTTAATGTCCACCTTTAGAGGATATTGCTTTAAGACCTAACCTTAGGGTGGTGGACAAGTGGCCCAAGTTACACTCAGTTCCTTCCATGAGTATAAGAACAATCTGAAAGGATTTTGCATAGAGAGGGAAGAAAGTATGTTAGAGATTAAGAGAAATAATGGCTAGGTGTGGTATGGATATAAATTAAGTTGGATAATGTGGGACAGTGGGTTCTTTTATTTTTAGTTAGCCTGGTATTCCTAAAAGCATTTTATTTCTAGTATGCTTTAGTTAAATAAATACAAGTTTCTTCCATAGAGCTGAAAACATTGATGTGTATTGAGATGAATGAAACATAATTGGGCTTTACAATAAGCAAAAAGACTTTGCATGCAAGTATATCTGGATATATCTTTAATATTTGATGCCTGCCAAAACTAACCTGTCTAGAATGTGATACTATATAATTTTCTGATTTTTAGCCACATATTTTTCTCATCTTAGCATTAATACTTGTAATTAGATCTTATATATCATTTTACCCTGTTACCTATCAGCAAACATGCACATTTCTAGAGAAAAATAGATTAACAAAGTTAAAAAATAAGGTCTTTTTTCAGCTTTCACCAATTTCAGTGTTTAACGTGTAAATGTGTAGCAGTATTACATGTTATATTTAAAGAATGAGAGCTCATGAGCAACTAAGAATTATTTCTACAAATCTGTAAACTCTAATAATGAAGTTTAAAGGTTTGTGAAGCCTTTAAAGCAAAATCCCTGTTGTAATGGAAGTTTTACACACATGTGGAATGAAGATTTGAGGTTCTAACAGGGAAAATGTTACGAGTAGTTTAGCTATTTGTATATCGTCAACCCAATTTTACCTTTATTGCTCTCACAAGCCCTGTCAAACTACTTCATTCCCCCCCTGCCCCTTTTTTTTTTAAGACGCAAATGCACTGGTACTATGTAACTTCTGAGAGCTCAGGATTCCGACAAGTTCTCCTCAAAAGAGTTTGGTTGCTGTCTTCCAGCAAAACACCCGTGCAGATCCGAGTGTGGGGAAAATGCGGTGTGTTACAGACTTATCACAAGGAAGCGCTCGATGCGGTAATGGGTGACCGTTAACAGGGAGGAGTGAGAGAGCTCTCACGTCTGCTCAGCTTCGGGTATCCCGGGCAGCCGATGACCACCGCTGCCAAAAAACCTGCCCTGGAGACTCTCAGCACAGCAGATAGAGAGGGAAGCAGCACAAAAAAAACACGAAAAAAAGAAAAAAAACCAAACCTGTAATACTATCAAAAGCTTTAAGTGAGTTAGGGCTGAAATGCAGTGATCTTACCATCAAACGCTCTTGTGTAGAGTTCTCCTTCTTTTCATTACAGCCTCTGCGCACATTCTTAGTCACACTCGGTTGCCATCTGTTATTCTGCTCGCCTGGAGTAACGGCCTGGTGGCGAAGCAGAAGCAGATAAAGCAATTGCATTGTAAGACCCCACTATGCCCGTATGTGGAGAAGAAAAACTCCGTGGCGCTTTTGGCGGTCGAAGGCCGTGAGCCGGGGCAGGGCTGCGCGGCGGGGTCCCGCGCGGTGGTGCCCTGCGCGGTGGTGCCCTGCGCTGCGCGGTGGTGCCCGCGCGGAGCGTGTCTGGCCGCGCTCAGGCAGCGCCAGACCCTGCCTGGGCACCAGCGGGACTGCGCGGGCGTCGGGGGCAGCTCCCTGCAAGGAGAGCAAAAGGCGCGTTTGTCTGAATCTAATGCCGGGAGATAAATCCAACTTCCGTGTTAAGATGAGTGCCTGTATCGCAAGAAGGCGACAAATAGTCTTTTCTTCGGTTATTTTCAGAGCCAAACTTTGTGTCATCTTATGACATTGGGAACTTCACCTACTTCTTCTTCCGGGAGAATGCGGTGGAACACGACTGTGGGAAAACCGTCTTCTCTCGTGCTGCTCGGGTGTGCAAAAACGACATTGGTGGCAAGTTCGTGCTGGAGGATACCTGGACTACCTTCATGAAAGCTCGGCTGAACTGCTCTCGCCCTGGAGAAATTCCATTTTACTATAATGAACTACAGAGCACTTTCTTCCTGCCAGAATTGGACTTGATCTATGGGATTTTTACCACTAATGTGTAAGTAAATTCCATTATATATTTTATTTTCTTGCTATTTATGACAGTAAAAACTAAAGCTTCTCAGCTGCTCCCTTCTGCATATACCAAGTAAACATCATAAATTCGAACTACTGTTTTTCCCAATCCACTGTCCTTTTGTGAACGTGTCAGTTCCAAATGCTTTCCGCATGAATTGTTGAAGGCGTATGAAAAAAGGAAGAATTCTTAATATTTCCTGACATCAAGGAGCCAGTTGTGTTTAAGACTATTCAGTCACGTTTTTCATACATTCTTATAAAGACATTATTTTTTATTTTCCACACTATTGTAATACATAATTGCATTATGTGTTTATGAAATACATATTTTGTAATTGTAATGTGACATGATCATGAATTTGACATGATGTAATTTGACCATGTCAGGAAGAGCTCACCTTACCCAAAAGAGCACAAGAGGTGCTCTTACATACTGTAAATTAGCCCTAACATATACTCATGTCAGTTTGAGGGTCAAACCAAGAATTTAATCTAATTTTAACTGAACCTGTTATATCAACAAGGTAAAATTAAAAAATGTACAGTTTGGTCTTAAAAACTAAAATTTGTTAAATATTAAAACATTAGATGGACATGAAAGCTCCCTAGACTCTGGGTTTGATATCAAGAGTTGCTTACCTCTTAGGAAAAAAGGGACATTTATGTCAGAAATGTCCTTTGTTACTTTAAGCATGATAACTAGAGTTCATGCGTTGCTCAGTGAGAGCAGCCCGTGGGTTAAGGCTGTGCAGCCCAGCCTTTAGACCCCTGCAACAGAGTTTCAGATTTTGGTTTCCGATTCTCTTACCTGCTTGCAGTGTCTTGCTGTGTAAGTCAGTTTTGCCTAGAATTTTAAAAGGTTCTTGGGCACCTAAACTGTAGATCAGTGCCCCTTACTACTGCTGTAAACACCTGGATACCTACCTTGTATAAATATCCGTTAACCAGTTGGAAACAGTCACAAATTAATGCCAACAAATTATGATCCCTAAGTATTTTAGACAGTGAGCATGAATTTGTGCTTAAGCTAGTTTTCATGCTTGTGGTACAGTCCCTTATGAACACATCTGGGCATCCTCCAGACTCAGGCTCGCCCCGGTCTGGCAGCTTTTAGGAGTTTTTAAGCGGGACTAGTGTCGGGCTGTTTGCAGCAGGCTGTGACGATTCCTGACTTGTGCTGTTGAATGATGAGCTTAACCCTGTTCCTGCAATGGAGTAATGTACTGAATCTAAATGCTGCTTTTTTAAAGAGAACAGTAGAGACTTTGGGCCTACTGGGGAAAAGAACATTTGATGCTGATTTCATCAGTACTTTTAATGTCATTGGTCTGTTTTACTAGCTAGTTGGAATCTTAGAAAACAGGTATTTCTCAGGTGGCATGCTCATACACTGTTCAACGTGATCTTTCATGAGAAGTCGAAACAGCCTTGACACACTCCTGCCACGGAAAGCCTGACCAGAGGAATTCTGCTCGGGAAAATCCGCAGGGCTTTGGCCACGGAAGGGGAACAACGCTTTTCTCTCAGAAGGGCTGCCCTGACAATTTGGGGATCGATGGAGTTTCCTTTGCTACAAATTCCACAGTTTCTGAGGCTGAGTAAGGATATCAGGGCTGCCATCAGCACACCCTGCCTCTTCTGAAAATAGCCTTGCTGATGTAAGACTACCTTTGCCACATGAAAGTGGACAGTATTTAAAACCTTGCCTCTACTTCCTTCTTCCCCAGCGGCTCAGTGTTCTGCCTTGTCCAGCAGAGATGGACGATCCAAAGAGGAATTAATTACAACTGTTTGGGGCTGGGGTTTTTTTGATAGCGCCCTTTAAATTATATTTGTTTCTTCTATCAAATATTGTAACTAAATTTTTGGTCACTGTTGTGATGTGGCAGAGCTAGGATTACTTCCCCCTGCTGAATACCTGTTTGCAGATATGTGACAACCTGTCTGATCCACCTTTCAGCCCTGCAACCTCACGGTGGAGAAGCGCCAGGGTTTCCCATGAGGGGGAGCAACACATGCCTTTCTGTTGGTGTAACAGCGTCAGATATTACTGAAACGACATTCAGCATTCTTCAATCTCAATATCTTCAGAATTGCAATGATTTTATTGTACCCTAATGCTTCTTTAAATATACTGTGAATGTACTTTAATATACTTGTGGGGAAAAACAAGCATTTCTGTCAATAACGTTTGAGTAATAGCAAAACCTGCACCCTTTATGTGTGGCTGACTATTAAGTCCACTATAGCCACTGCTTCATCGTGAAGGTGATTTTGTTTCTTTCAGACTATCCAAAATCTATAAGCATGTGTCTAATGTCCTTTACAGACTTCAAGAAATTCAAGAAGACATTGGTATGGTTAATAATATTAGTGAGCTGCATTTAGTGATAGTTTATATAGGCAAGGAACTATCAAGTCCAATGATAATTGATTCTGTAGAAATTGTTAGCATGAAACTTCAAGTTGTGGGGTTTCTTGGAAATAAGAGTGACAAGCATAAGAAAGCAAATTGCTATTTTGTCCTGCTATTAAATCCATATAACCTAACTCTTTTTTTCAGTTGTTGGTAGATTTGCTCCCTGGAGTTATATTTTCTTTCCATCATTTTGGAGTTTCTATAGTAGGCTTTCTTAAGTCTTGTGTAAATTACACGCTAAGTTTAAAAAAAGAAAAGAAAAAAAAATGCTGTGTGGATTGTCAGCAGTTTTACCTGCAATGGAAATTTGTGCAACTGCCACCTTCATTATCTATCCCTTTACCTCAAGTTGTGGAAAAGAGCAGTGCAGTTTTCCATATTATGAGCTCTCATAGTCACTGGATTATGTTCTTTACACTGTGCAGAATTACTTTATTGTCACATATATCACATTTTCAAGACAAGAACAGGAAATTGTGTATTTTGCCCGGCTGCTGTTTGTTTGTGTTTATTCCTCTAACAGGATATCTTGTAAAGTATGCAGTCCAAGTTGTTTTCTCTTGATGGATTTCTGGAACTTGCATTCTTATTGCTGTACAACATCTCTTGGAAGACAGGATTTTTGTGGAGGTGTCTTACCCAGGGTTCTACAGGGTCTAGAGACATACCATACATTGAAAATCCTTACTTCTGTCGTGCTGCCATTGGTTGTATAGAAGAAATGTTAATGAACTCTGAGAATAATCTCACCCTCAACTTTGTAACTAGAAGAAAAGTGTCCCTAATGCGTGTGATTATGTGCGGAAGCACAGCCTTGTGGTATTAGAGCAGCAGCAGAAGGTAGCAAGTTCTGAGTTTCTCCCACACCAGCTGCTTGGCAAGGCTGACAAAAATTTTAAATCCAATATCTGTGCCTAAATCAGCACATCATATATCATTACCTTGAGATCTCATCTCCTGGCTGATCATATCTGCTTTGCTAATTACTTGAAGGATTGGAGAGTTACTGCCTTTTTTATTTATTTTTCAGTAAATGGACTTTTTAATGTTGTTACTTAGGTTAATGTTTACATTTCTTTTGCAGGAACAGCATAGCAGCCTCAGCAGTTTGTGTTTTCAACCTGAGTGCCATAACTCAGGCCTTTAATGGACCCTTCAAATACCAGGAAAACTCTCGCTCTGCTTGGCTTCCATATCCCAATCCTAACCCTAATTTTCAGGTACAGACACATGGGAGAAGGACAATGATTTACATGAGGTTTTTTCAAAGTGCTGTATGGTTCATAGTTAATAAGTCCAGTTGTGCAGTATGCTATATCCTGAGACCTTAAAAAAATTCTAAAAAAAGCAGCCTTAAGAGTTCCCCTTATTTCAACATACTTACTTTTATCCTTCCACAAAATAATTTGGGTTAAAGACTTCAATCTTCTGACAAAATGAAACACTATAGTTATCTCTCAAGGTAACATTAATTCCTGACTGAAGTATGATGAAATTGCTATCTTTTGTATTTGTGCTGTTAGAACCTGAAAAGGGAACATTGTCTGACAGAAAAAAGAAAGGGCATGCGGGTAAAGGAGGAGTGGTCAGGATTTTGTATATTTTCCTGTGCAAGGTGGTCAGCACTCCCCAAAGACTCTGATTAATAGAATTTGTGATGTGGTGTGCCCCTCATTTGAACTTGTCAGCCTCAGAGCATGTAATAATCTGCAGCTGGCTGACAACGTAAAACTAATTAGTCCAAGGTGGGTCACTCAGTGGAACTTTCTACAAAAAGAAAAGGCTATTTCAGGTAAGCACATATGCATTGTTTTCTTCTTCTGCGTAGTCACCACTCCTACTAGGACAATTTTAGTGAGTGAAGTTCTAGCAAGGGAAATGGAAGGGAAAACAGCATTAATTTAGTGATTAACAATAGCTTTTCACCAAGATACTTAAGTGTATTCACCTTTATCCACCTTTCACCCTCCCTTAATCTCAATGCAATTTCACGAGTTCAGTGCTGCCCCTGTAACAACCTTCTCTATCTTCTTGTAAGAGTCATGAGATCTTTGCAAGCATGAAACAGAATCACCCTTTGGGGATTGTAGGTAGTTTTAATTACTTCCTGATTTATGCACACGAAGGAAAATAAGGAACTGAATTTGGTCCGAATTACAGGCCAGAGCCACGTTACCTTTCCTAAATAGTATATTTGGCATTAGCCCCACGTGACAAGACACCGTTTAAGTAAGCCATATTGCAGAAGTGGCCTTTTTACATATTGTAGAAATATTTGTATTATCAAGACAGTGATAGTAATAAGGTCTAAGTGAGCCTAAATTTTTGAAGGAGAAAGCCTGAAGAAGGGCTTGTATGTAAAAATCTTATCTTCTTTCTGACTAGGTAAGCAAGTCCAATAAAAGTTATTTACCTCTCCCTACAAACCTTGAATTAATGTGTTGATAATTATTGTGAGTGCACCCTATACAGAATGGTACATGCAAACAAAGATGACAGCCTGATGGCTGTGTACAAACGCTTTAAGTCTCTCCTGTACTACCCATGCTCATCTCTATATCCCAGTCAAGACTGAGGTGTTGAAGAAATTTCTTGCTTGGATAGTCTGGCTGATTTTAATATGGCTCATACTTCATCCAATTTAGGAGAACAGTGGCAACAGGTGTATCATATCTCATTGAGCAACAGCTTTGCAGGCCAGCACTCGCGTTAAAAGCTGTAACGTGGCCTTTTACAACACAGTATTGAAGCCAATTGGCATTAACTGATCTCTAGGTATCATTAGCAATGTCGAGCTTCTGTTCTTTTGCAGGTGCTATCTTTTATTCTGTCAAACTTTCTGTTAGATTTCTGGCTCTGTAACTGCAGCAGTGATGCATACCAGAAGCTAGTCTAATGCTTAGAGCTAGGTGTAACCATTTTTTGTGATTTGACAGTGCTTTAGAGTACATACTTCACGTAGATGGGATATTCATTGGCTGAGTCACTAGTTTCCTCCCCAGAAAGAAGGACTTTTCTTGTGTAGAGTCCTTATAATAAAATAGCAGAAGTTCTGTTTGTGTAGTCTCAGAAGTAGATTCATCCTCAGAGTATTCACCTACTTAGCAATAACAGACGGAAGTGTGTGATTTGAAGGAAGACTACTGCTATGTAGTGATAGTTGCATCAGACATTGTATTTCCAAGACTGGATTATATTAATGAAATATTTTCCAGGTTAGAATACTATTGGAGTCCCAGTTTTGAGGAACACTGTTTTTCTCCAGAGATTGTTGCTTTTCTCTTTACACAGGACAATTTCCATCGTAAGACCAAGGGCCATATGTATTCAGTGTACTATGAGTGTTCCGGCTGGAATCTTTCCTGCTTGATAGATTCAGAGAAATTCTTCTTTGGCGTGGTTTATTTTTTTCACTGGCCTGACATGCAGAGTGCTCACAGAGCAAGTAATTGTTTCCTGCCAGTTGCTTAACTGTCTTTCCTCATCATATGATGTCTCATTATGAAATTATTTGAGTTTTTCTTAACATTTGTGGATTTGGAACGAGCATTTAATTTCAGATTGAAAACATGGCAATAATGAAAAAATCACTGGTAGGGCTTTGCACACTGTATTATTTTGTTCATGCCGTAATTCATGGCATAATTAATGACATAGTAGAATAGAACAAAAAAAAGTATAACCTGGGTATGCCTTTCACATCACCGGCATACTTGATAAATGTTGTGAAGTACTGCTTTACTTCCCTGATGCAGTTGTAAGTGAGTAAACTTGCGGATGGTTACATATTCGCATGCGCTAAACAGCTTTCTCATTTGTGTCCTCAGTTAGTTGAAGACTTAAACACAAAGATGCTAAAATTAACTGCCACTTATTTTGCTTTGTTCATCTGTGGTCGAAAATTGTGCGTGCAATTAGTGAATGCTTTCCTGTCAGGAAAGAGTACAGTTTTCAGATATAAGATATAGTCAGTTCCAAAGCAAAAATGTCTTTGCCGTGGGTAACGCTTTATAGTTAGAGCTCCGCGCTGTCCCTTGTTGCCTAGTAAGCACAGGGTCTGAAGGAGGTGCTAGAACTGTGCGTGGTGCTTTCACCTGGGATTTCTGTCAGACCCTGGCTGCAGTAGGACATGGAATTTCCTTTGGAAATTTGTTAGGTCTTTTGCACTGTGTCTGTGTAAATTCCAAAGAAAACTAGTCAGAAAATCCTGTGGTTTGTTGGAGGGGAGTTTTTCTTCTTCCCGCCCTGTAAGCATAGGATATAGCAAAGTATTACTCTGGCCCACTTGTGGTGTCAGTCTGGTGCCCTTCCCTGTCGTTCAGAGGCAGGGACCCTCCATAGCACTGCCTCAGGAAAGCAGAGCTTCCTCAGTCGCTGTGTGGACAGTCTGGTCAGCACCAAAATGAGACCTGAAAGTGAAATTCCACAGCGTCACTACAAGATAGACTCTTGGGTTTTATTTTCCTGTGCTGTAAATCAGAGTAAATCTGTTGTTATCGTTGATGCATATAGTAATGTTACTTTTCTGTGTTTACAGTGTGGCACCATGGACCAGGGTTTGTATGTAAATCTGACTGAGAGAAATCTTCAAGATGCTCAAAAATTCTTCTTAATGCATGAGGTCGTTCAACCAGTTATTCCAATTCCTTACTTCATGGAAGACAACAGCCGATTTTCCCATGTGGTTGTGGATGTTGTGCAGGGCAAGGACATGCTTTTCCATATCATCTATCTTGCCACAGGTATGAACTCTGCATTGCTGTGTTACCTGCAAAAGTTTGAGGTCTGTGAGTTTTAATGTTCTGTGAATCAGTTACGAAATATGTATAGTGCACCTTGAACAACGGCTTTTCCTCTTCGACAGCATTAACTCTACCTCCTACCTTTTCTGAGTAGATGAATTCAGCACTTAACAATGTCTTTGTTTATATTATACTGTGAAGTCAGATTTTGGTGTCTGTTTCCTATTCTCCTTTGAAGGTATGAAGCCTACATGCTCCTGAGGGAGTAATCAGTTGGAAATTCTACAAACGAGACTTCACAAGTTTCTCTACCTTTTATTCTTTTTGTGTACTTCAGGGTACATTCTTACCCAAGATAAGGTGGTTTAGGCTCCTCTAAGATAGAAGTAACTTTACAAATAGCAAGTACAATTGCTGCTATTGCCATTGCTGACCTTTCTGCTCACAAATATTTTACTACCTTTCCTTTTCATCTCATTTTTAAGTCATTCATTATGCAGTTTTACACCCTGCCTTATTATTTGCCCATTTATATGTGAACTTAGCAATGAAAGAAAAATAATCCTCCACCTAACATTGCCTTGGTTAGAAATATTGCTTTCTTGGTTCAAAATTTCAAACTTCTTAAAAATAGCGAGGCTCTCGGAGAACTGTTTTTGCAGAACAAGGATGTCCCCAGCTGAGACTGAAATACTATGTTGGAGCAACATATATAGAGCCTCATGGCATAAAACTTAAGGTAGTTCTCAAATACTTAGTCCTATGCACATTAATAGGGGATAGCTCATCAAAGCAATGGTTTGTTAACGTGCATAGTTTGTCTCCCAGCGAGTAGGCACCAAGTATGATAAATTTAGGGAAAGAATCTGTTGATCAATAAGAGGAAAAAAACCCCTAATCCTATTTATTTGATTTTGCAATCAATGAAGTAAATTTCAAAATTGTCACTGATTCAGTAGAAACTGGATCAATCCTTTAATTACTAAAATTATGATTTACTAATTAAAACTCTATAGTCTATAGCTTATAATTTATCAAGAGCCCAAGAAAAATGTGCATTGTGATTCAATATTTGATTTAATTTTCACTTGAAAGCATGATATTCTTCAGAGAAGATTGCTTCTTTTGAGTCTGAAGAAATTTTATAGTAATTTGGTGCATTTGGGTGAGACTATTTCTTTGCATGTTATCCTCATAGCTTTTTCATTGTGCTCCTTGAAAGATAGGCAGTAATATAAAAGCTTTTAATAGGTTAAAGCTGTGCTTGGATTTGACGAATTCTAGTCAAAACAGCTTGCTGGTTGGTAAACCATAGCGTTTTAAGTGAAATCATGTCAGTACTAAATGCTGTTTGTATTGTAGAGGTCTCTGACAGAAACTGAATTACAGAAACACGTAGTGATTCAGTGAGGATCTAAAACTTTACGTTTCATGGTTCATTAATAAATTGTGTTCACTAATGATTCTAGGTTCTTTTTATGCATATTTCTTGCTGCTAAAAAGATATTGCTCCTATACTCCTTATGATGTATGCTTGCCTTCCACTGTCATTCTTCTCTGTACCTCTGGTTTTGGTCATTCATGGAAATGGGATGCTACCTTAGTGGGATCTTTAGTCTGACTCCCACACATGCTTTTATGTAATCGGGCAGTGTATGTTTTACAAGTGTAAGAAACCGTATGATAAAAAAAACCAGGTAGCATTATTGTGTTTTCCTGACATAGCCAATTCTGTTTCACTTCTGTTTCACTGAATCACTGTGGATTTTGTTAACATTCCTTCTGCCCTGCTGCCCACCAGTTAAGTGTAAGTACTAAGCTTTATTTTCCAAGAAATATTAATGTTCACTTTTCAGAGTAGAAAACTACTTTTTGGTAGACTTTGAAATTACCATATGTTTATATATAAATACCATACCTACAATATATAAGGGTAGTTTAAAAATCCCAAGATATACCAAATTACACAATGTAATTTACTTTAAATTCTTATGATTTGAGGAGTAAGGCAGTATTTTACCTTCTTTGGGATGCAGGTCATAATTTTAATTTCATGGTATTGGTAATGATGCAGCATCTTAGTTCTCCATAGTCCTATATTTGCTTGTGTGGAAGCTGTGAAGCAGTTAGCATTGAGTTTGCATCCTTAACTGCATGTGGTAAAAGATTACAGAGAAAACACCACTGCTTCTGTAAACAACAGAAACTAAAAGGCAGCGGCCTTAACTTTGAAAATAAATAGTAACTTTGGAAGCAGACCAAATTTAATTGTTTTGAATTCCTCCAGTGTCCAGCCTTACTCCTGCATACAATGTCATCTACCCCAAGCTTCTAAGACTATAAAGCATGTGTATGTTTGGGAGAGGTGGAAGAGTGTGGTTACGGTTACTACCAGACTGAGAAAGATTGTCATTATTGTATCTCTTCTGATTTAATTTCCTTGCATTATTAAGAGCATTATTTAATTAACAAAATTAAATTTGAAGTCAAATTTTTGCCACAATGCTCCACCTTCAAAAAAAGCCAAAGGAACGATCTGGGGAACAACAGGCCAGTCTGCATTCAGTCCCTGGGAAAATCAAGGAGCACACCTCCTTGGAGCTTACTTCTGTGGGCACATGATGGAGACGGTGGTGACTGAGAACATTCAGCATGGATTTCCCAAGGATGAATCACACCTGACCAACCTGATTACTTTCTGAGGTAAAATGCCTGATTTGTGCCTGAGGAGAGCGTAGTAGCTCAACTTTAGCAGGACTTTCGACACAGTCTCCCACAATATTCATGTATCTAAATTAGGATGTATGGTCTGTATGGGTGGACAACTGGGTGTATAAAACCTGCTTGGATGTCAGGCTCAGAGGGTAGTTGTTAATGGAAGGTATAGAAGTGGTAAGGAGCTGAGGAGGCAACAGAGTGCAGAGTACCAGCAGTTACACTGGAGAACAGCGCTGCCATCCGAAGGACGTAGACGTGCTGGGCTAGCAAGAACCTCATGAAATTCAACAGGTGCAAATATGAAGCCCCAAATCTGGGAAGGACTAACTCTGTGCAATGACCGAGGCTGGGGACTGACTGTCTAGGAAAGCCCTCTGTTCAGAGGACTTGGGGACTTTGGTCGGCAGCAAGGTGAACATGAGCCAAGAGCGTGCCCTCGCTCCAAAGGCGGCCAACAGCGTCTTGGGTTGGCTGGTTCTAGAGGCTCTGCAGGTCCAGGGAAGAGGTTATCCCCGTATACTCAACACACTTCAGACCGCATCAAGTTTTGGCCTCCCCCCAGTACAAGAAGGACGTTGATAAACTGGAGCAAATTCAGCGGAGGCCCACCTTCTGTTGGAGGCTGGAGCACCATGCCCTGGGAGGGAACCGGCCTTGTTCATCCCAGGGGAGAGGAGGCTTCGGGGGGTGCCTAGTGACAGCCTGCAAATACCTACAGGGGCTTTACATGGGGAATGGAGCCAGGCTTTTCATAGTGGTGCACGGTGGGAAGGCAAGACACAACAGGCAGAGAGTTTCACACTGGGTATAAAGAAAAATCTTTTCACTCCGAGGACGATCAAGCAGTGGATTGGATTTCCCAGAGAGGTTGTGCAGTCTCCATCCTTGCAGGTTTTCAAGACCAGGCAGCAGCCCAGTCTGTATTATAGCTGGCTGTCCTTTGAGCAGAAGGTTGGACTTGACACCTCCTGATGTCCCTTCCAATCTAAGTTATCCTCTGTCAATCGTATGCCAGTGCAATGTGCAGATTGGTTGGACGAAATTAAATTTTTACTCAACGCTGTGATAATAGATGTCATTGTACTTTCTGCTGCCAAAAGGAAAGTGCATTCAACTCCAATGTAAATACTGGCAGTAAGCAATTTGCACCTAGAGGTGTAAAGCAGGATGAATTCAACCCATGCCGTGAGAGATGTACTCTACGTAACTTTTGCAGTTATAATTCATTACAACATTCTTACAAAAATTGTCTTTTAAAATGCACAAAGCTGATTCAGTGGAAAGGCAGGCATATAGATTGGACTGAATACAAATGAATGCTCTGCTGTCTTTGTTACTCAAAGCAAAAATCCTATTCTTTGAAGCAGATGGGCAGCAGTAAAGAGAAAATTCTCCTCCCCCCCCCGCCCCATTCACTTACCTATCCACCCTGTTATTAGAATACAAATATTACAGAGGATAATAACGCTGACAGTATAAAAGAGTAATCTAATTTCATTAAACCTTAAATAGATATAATATTACCTGAGGAGAGACTGGGAGTAAGCAAACAAATGCATTAATCTGCTGTGTCAACAGTCTTCATTTCCTAAACCTTTGCCAAGCCATCATTCTGCTAGGAGATTCTGGTGTACTGGGATTTAACAGCTACTGCTCATATCAGAAATATACTTTAGCACTTTGGAAATGCATCTTAATCTTTCACTGCACTGACTTCTAACACAGAATGAAGGTATATATTAATTCCTGCACATTTTGTGTTGCTTATAGCTAGCACAGCGCTGCTGGTTTAGGCAGGCAGAAATCCCTGAAACAATTTTCAGTCATTCAGAAAGGAGTCAGGGAAAGCATTCACAGAAGTTCTGAACTAAAAATCATTTACAATAATAAAAGTAGAGCAAGCTAGAGAACAAGCCAATATTCTGCCAACTTTTCAAGTCTAAAAAACTTGACTTCTTCATTAGAAGAAAAATCCAAGCAAAATGGTGCTATATATGTCATAGTTTTGTTTCCCTCCCTTTTGTCCCTTTTCCCCCCCCTGCCATTTTTTCTCCTTTTCATTTCTCCCTTTCAGTTTAAATGCCTAGGTGTCCCATGGTTAAAAACTTTGCCAATATCAAAGGTTTTCAAAGCATTTTTCAAAGCATTTTTCAGAAAGCAGGACGCATTGCAACAAGAGCAAGTAGCCCTTATTTAGAGGACTGTTACAAAATGTATTGATTTATTAGAATGAATAAGAAAATTAGTAGGTATGGTGTCCAGTTTGAGGGTATTCTGAAAAC